CTGCTGAATAATCACACAGCTCCATTATCTGTGGGGGAGTCCTCTCTTCCAGTGTTCCTCAGGAGGCTGTACTGCCTGTTGGGAGCTCACAGACAGAGCTGAGAGACACCCCAGGAAGCATGTACTGAAAGCCCATACAGATTGCAATACTATCGCTTATCCCTTTCATGCTGTCTTTCTCCATAAAGAGAGAGCCAGTCACAAAAGGCTGCCTTTGTCACTAAATAATCACAGTGCTGGTGCCTTCCCCAAGACTTTTCTCAACCTTTACGTGCACAAGGCGCAACAGGAGCACAGTGAACAAAAATGCCAAGCAGCATGAGCCCACCTTGCCATCCTGATGTCTACGCTGACTTCTGATGGAAAGGACACAGTGAAGCTGTCTGTTTATGCTTGGAAGCTTGACAACAACCTCCCTATATTAACAATACTCTGGACCAGAGTTTTCCAAATTGACACCATTGTCGCCAAGGCCTTTGGACTTTAATATTTGCTATATACATAACATTTGGACTTGCCTACTCGCTTGTTTACACAGAATCCTTTCAATATCTTTGCTCGCATGGAGAAAGAGTTTCGATGTTAAAGTGGTAGAACAGAAGGTGGAGAGATGGTGGGCTGGACACAGTGTGCAGGGTTCCTCCATCTGTTCCACTCTTTGTGAATTTTTGAGGGGAAAAAAAGGTGGTGGTTGTTCTTTTAGAGAGGGAGGCTGAAGGCAGTGAGGGTGTGAATGGCATTGGCTGGCACGGGCTGTAAACACAGTGTTCTCACTGGTTTCCAGTGCACATTTTCAGCACAGTTTGAAAGACTGGAATTTCCAGATGACGTGCTGCTCAATGTATGTGGTGGGGGTAGAGGGCAGAAAGGGTCCTTCTTTTTCATGTTCACTCCTGGCTGTCAGTCAAACATAGCAATAAAATCAGCTCTAATTAAGTGGATATGCAAGGAATTTCATGATAAAGTCAACACTCCATTCCACCAATACAGGGGTAAAGGAAAGAAGCAAATTTTCATCTTTTTAAGAAATAACCTCAGTCACACTCAACTGTAGTATCACCAGTTAATCACAAAAGCACATGAAACGGTTGACAATTCCTTCATTATCCTGTGGGGTTTTTGCTTTGTTTTTTCTGTGGGGGCCCTGGTTTCTGTTTCATTTGCTTTCTGATTACTCCAGTGCTGACTTAACTTTCTCCAGCAGACTGCCTTCAGTTCTCTAAGGTTCAGTTTCTCATCCATTAACCCCTTACTGCAAGGAATCTCACTCACCTGACCTTAGAAATGGAAAACTGCTAAAGAGACCAGAGTACTACATGGATAGAAAAGTCCAGCTCTGGACTCACTCCCATCTCTCTTCACATCTAACTTTCTGTGTGACCTTAAAACATGTCCCAGTTAAAGCACTTAGTAAGGTTCTCAAGCTTCTAAAAATTCAATAGATACTTCTAATCCTGTGTTTTACCACGTAGGAGCCTAAATCTACCTGTGATCTACCTTAGCTGCAAAATTGGAGTGTTGTGCCCAGTTCTGGGCTCCCTATTTCAAGAGGGACAGAGATCTACTGGAGAGAGTCCAGCAAAGGGCTACAAGGATGACTGGGGGACTGGAACACCTGTCATATGAGGAGAGGCTGAGAGACCTGGGGCTTTTGTGTCTGGAGAAGAGAAGACTTCTTAGGGGGGATCTAATTAACGTCTATAAATGTATGCAGGCTGGGTGTCAAGAAGAAAGGGGCAACCTGTTTTCACTTGTGCCCTGCAATAGGACGAGGGGCAATGGTCACAAGCTGGAGCACAGGAAGTTCCACCTCAACATGAGGCAGAATGTCTTTACTGTAAGGGTTCCAGAGCACTGGAACAGGCTCCCCAGGGAGGTTGTGGAGTCTCCTTCCTGGGAGACTTTTAAGACCCATCTGGAGGTGTTCCTGTGTGACCTGCCCTAGACTAGATGGTCCTGCTCTGGCAGGGGGCTTGGACTCGATGATCTCCAGAGGTCCCTTCCAACCTCTAATATTCTGTGATTCTGTGACAATGGGCATAGTTACACTGCAGCAGTATAAAATCTGGTCTATCTTGATTCACTGATCTAGGGAGGGGAGAATTTCCAAGGAGGGATAATGCCTCTCCAGTGCTCTCCAATGAAATGCTACTGCATTTAATCTACTGTCATGTTCCTTGGTGAGGTCTGCAATTTGCAGCTGCTACAGCTGACCCCACAGAGACATTCTGGAGGTGCTTTTGGCCTTCTCAACCCATATTAAGATTATCTTAATTTGATGTGGTGCTTTCGTAACTTCTTGCCCCACTTGGTATTGTGCTATATGCTGTTAATCCTACAGAAAGGCTGATAATTTCATCAGAACTTGACATGTTCTGGATCATGATTTCATGGTCAAATTGCTTATGCCTTTGGGCACTGAAACTTGTATTCTGGGAACAAATGCCCTCCTACAAACAGGCTGGCTAGCAGTTTAGTAACTGTAAGTAGTAAGAGTGAAACAAAATCTAAAAGCAGTGATCATCTTGAGTAACTAACACCTGGACTATATAAATAAACATGATAGCAGTTACTGGTAATCAACAGCAATAAGCTTAATGCATGCTAAATACATAATCAGATATCAGATCTATTTTTTCCACTAAATGTTACACAACTAAACCTCTTAGTAATTGTATCTAAAACCTCATGAACATGCCAGCAGTTTGGATGGAAGTAATTCTAGTTACTCCAGTTTCAGATTTTTCATTCAGTCTTCCTGAAACACCCTAAAAGAAAGCCCCAGGCTTTTTAAGCATAAATACAAAGGTGTGAAGGGTACAAACACTTTGTGCTGTACCTTATCCCTCTCAATTTTTAGAAAAAGAACTGGAAAGCTGTCCACTGCTGATGCGGATCTGTTTGGATTGAAGAACCTGCTGGATTATTTAAAGTTCTGTTCCAGTGATAGCCAACATTGGCTGCTGAAGTGAACTGTATGACTACATTCCCTGTAAAATGTGTCTCCATTTCCTTTCAGGTTGGGAAGCTGATCCAAGAAGCAGCTGGAAGGAGTAATTTGAAGAGAGTTACACTGGAGCTGGGTGGGAAAAGCCCAAACATTATTTTTGCAGATGCTGACTGTAAGTCAGCACTTCCACATTTTTCTTAAAAACATGTTTGTGTGATGTCTTTTTTTTTTCTTCTTTTTTTTTATTTTAGGGCACATCTTTCATACAAAGTGAAATGGATCAATATAGCTGTATCTAATTGCACTTTTTAATCTTGCAGAAGCAACCTAAGGTGTGATATTTTTTATAAAAAGACAATGTTTTAACCCACACATCCATACACAGCAAGAAAACAAAATAGTTAAAACCAAGGATATGTAAACAGTATATAGAAAACAGCATATGGAAACACAGGCATGATCCCATACATGTCATCCTAAACTCTGCAGCCAGGTGTTTTAGTGCTTTAAATCCAGAAATTCTGTGATTTTTTTTTGCTTCACAGCAATTATACAAAGGGAGGGCTTTGAATTTACACTTGAGTTGCTAACCTAGTCAGTGCAGTACTCCTTTGTTAATCTGTTTTGATAGTAGCTATAAATGGAGATTATTCCATTTTTTAAATTTTCATGATTGATGAATTGCATATTGAAATATCCTCACTGCCACTGTAAAGCAGGGAGCTGAAGATATTGGCAGCTGGATGATGTTGTGCAGCTGAGATTTTTGGCACCTGAGAAGGTACAGGACAGTCATTTAGGACAGGATAAAAACAGACTGCAAGTTGGTGCTTAAATGATCAGCAGTGAAGTGGTTAAAAACGTTACTATCTGAGTTGTCAGCAGGAGGTTTTGAGGTTAACACCCCATTAAGATCTAGGGGACAGTTCACACCTTGCTTTGAGCTATTGTTTCAGGCTGTGTGAAGGCACACTGTACTCAATTCATTTTCTGAGAACTTTGTAACCCAAATAAATAGACATATAAGGACTGATCTAGTGGGAGGTGTCCCTGCTCATGGCAGAGGGGTTGGAACTGGGTGATCCTTGTGGTCCCTTCCAACCCTGACAGATTCTGATCTGTTTTAGCAGAGGACTTTAGAGCCCTAATGGCTCAATGGTTGGACTTGATGATCTTCAAGGTCCCTTCCAACCTAAAGGATTCTATGATTCTATGATTTGGTCTTTTAAAAGGAGAAAGTGAATAAAAGAATTATTCTAAACAGCATAAATTGTTAAGGGCTGGTTACAATCCCATCTGCCTTTTCAAACTTACCAAAGTCGGAAAGAGTAGGGAGGGAAAGCTTGAGCATTTTCAGCAGCTTTTCTATATAGCAGTGTTTTATCAAGCTGGGGGGGTCTAAAATAAACCACAGCCATCCTGTTAAGCTGAGAAGGCTCCTGACAACTGGAGCCAGATGCAGATGTTACAGCCTTCTACTCCAGTTACTCATCTCCATCTCACATCAGAAATCGCCGCCTCCCGGATGTTGCTCACTGCAAACTGAGACGGGATCACCTGAACGCTTCTAGGAGAGAGATCTATGCTGGGGGGCAGGTCTGTGCAAATGCTCCCAGCTGCCACACAGAGCTGTAGTTTAACTGTGACTTCCTCTATCTGCCAAATAAGGTTGAGGACCTGGGGAGAAGTTGCAGGCAACAGGGGAACTACAGGGCACAGAGGAGAGCACAGTCTTCTTCTAGACTGTCTGTTCCACAGGATAGGGTAGTAAAGCTCTCTGGTCTTCCTGTAATCACAACCACCAGCACCTGACACAAGATTCAGACTTCAAAGCTTTGGTTATTTAAGCACAGCAGACAATTTGCTTACAATTCCAAGAGAGCTGTCTGTTCTGTTTGAGGAACACTTTGTGCCACAAGTTAGCAGAAAGCATGGGGCAAAGCTGGAAGTGAGCAGATTCAGGCTGGACGTGAGGAAGAAGTTCTTCACCATGAGAGTGGTGAGACCCTGGAATGGGTTGCCCAGGGAGGTGGTTGAGGCCCCATCCCTGGGGGTCTTTAAGGCCAGGCTGGATGAGGCTCTGGGCAGCCTGATCTAGCGTGAGGTGTCCCTGCTCATGGCAGAGGGGTTGGAACTGGGTGACCCTTGTGGTCCCTTCCAACCCTGACAGATTCTGATCTGTTTTAGCAGAGGACTTTAGCGCCCTAATGGCTCAATGGTTGGACTTGCTGATCTTGGAGGTCCCTTCCAACCTAAAGGATTCTACGATTCTATGACAAAGTCGTTGATATTTTAGTGCATCAGAAAAACAGAGAACAGTTAGAGCCCCTCACGGTGAACAACAGAGCAAGAAATATCAATTAATCAGTTCTATCCACTGTTTGCAATTTCCATGGATAGGTCTTGCCATTATCAAAGTCAAATTCTCTCAACTAATTGGTTGGCTATAATTCTCACAAATGCAGTATTAAACCAAGTGCAAACCTGGGATCACAGACAAATTTTCCCCTCCTCTACTGACCACAGGCAGACAGACTTCTACAGGGCAAAATCCATTTCCTAGGGTCTCTTAAGATTTTTAGTTGATAAATTACATGTTGCTGGCATGTAAGACATTGGTGAAGCTGTCCTTGCTCGCACTGGCTTGATTTAATTTTTGCAGTTGGACATTAAGCAGTATCTTGTGGCTTGTGTCATGAGCTGGCACATGGAATCTCTTACCTATGGACTCTCCTTTGCCTAGATGATGCCTGAAGTCACAAGGGGTCCTTTGCCATCTAGTCCTTCTGAAACAATTGTAATACTCCTAATATCCCTCCAGTATATCTGTGTCCAGGGGGGAATAAATGGGGGAAAAAAGTCAACTTCAGACATATCTTAAAATACCCTATTTTCACAAGGTTTGTGACAAAAAATGAAACGAATCAGCTTCATTTATGATCCAACACAACAACAGTATGTTTAGATATGATCATTTGGTTTCTTTCAACCAAATTCTGCTTCTGCTTTGGAGTTTGGGGAGTGTGGCACTATGTAATGCACATGACACTGTGTATAGCACGTGTCTAAGATGTTTCAAAGCAACATATGCCATCTTGGTTTTCAGTGGACTACGCTGTTGAACAAGCTCACCAAGGGGTCTTCTTCAATCAAGGTCAATGTTGCACTGCAGGCTCACGGGTTTATGTGGAAGAATCGATCTATGAAGAGTTTGTTAGAAGAAGCGTAGAACGTGCAAAGAGGAGAGTTGTAGGAAGTCCTTTTGACCCAACTACGGAACAAGGTCCACAGGTAAAGGAGTAGCACTGCTGCTTTACAGCCCTGAAGGTGCCTGGAAGAATTTAAACTCTACTAGGACAGAGGCCAATCAGTGCATACTCGCTCACAGGCCAGGGTAGCTGACATTTTAAAGATTAAAATTCTAAAGGAGTAGATAATCCATGCAGCCCAGAGGTATTTCATGTTAAGTAAAAACTCTCATCTTAAATAAGTTTGCCTTCCAGCTTTAACAGCAAGATTCTGATCTTCAGCCCCCAAGATACAACTAAACTGTGAGAAGCTCTCAAAGTCTTTGTGGGCACTTACTGTCAAGAACTGTCTGCAACCATAACCATGCTTGTAGACCACGAGGCAGATGGGAATTCCAAGCAAAAGATGGGCAGAATTAGAAATAGGTCTTTAGAAAATATTCCTGCCACTAATAACTAGCTATGCTTACACCATTTCCAGGAAGTTAACTTAGGACAAAAAAGAATATTCTACTTTGTGCTTATAAATGAAATTGCTTACCAAGACTGTGGGTTGAGTCACACACGTAAGGGGACATAGCTATAAGAAGACTGAGCCCTAGGTTACAGTCAGCAGGTAGCTGTAGATCTTTGGCATCTCCAGCTCAAAGAGTAACGAATATAAAGCATGAGGCTACTCACTGGGACATGACTTTCCAAAAAAACCCCAATTTTGACTTCATTGTCAAATGCATGCACTGCAAGTCAAATATCTTGTCTCTTTCAGATTGATAAAAAACAATACAACAAGATCTTGGAACTGATCCAAAGCGGCATTACTGAAGGAGCAAAACTTGAATGTGGAGGTAAAGGGCTAGGAAGAAAGGGCTTCTTCATTGAACCTACGGTGTTTTCCAATGTCACAGATGACATGCGGATTGCCAAGGAAGAGGTACTCACACACATGGGCAAGATCGTTTTATAATGTCCTAAACGTGATTTTTTTTTTTTCCTTTTCTTTACTTCCTGAGACAGAAGCTTTAAATTGAAAATTACCACAATATTAACAAAAAAACAAGTATAATCTTTTCAGAGCTCCTTATGCACACAGCAACCGATGACATCAGTTGGGTAAAGAGGCTCAATTTTTGTCATTGGCTGTAAAGTCTCAGGCCTCAAGAAATACAGGGAGAATGAATGAGTTCCACTGAGGCAACTGCTTTGGGAAATGCATGTGGTTTTACAGACTGCTGTTATCACTACTGAGCATTGCTGTGTGAATTTGTATAGAGTACAGACAGAGTACAGCAGGAGAGAGAAGACAATTTAAAAGAGCAGACTAAACCAGCAATAAAATGCCTCTTGAGTGGGCTGGGTTATAAGTTAATGATTAATCTTTGTTGCAGATTTTTGGGCCTGTTCAAGAAATACTGAGATTTAAAACCATGGATGAAGTTATAGAAAGAGCCAACAACTCTGATTTTGGGCTGGTTGCTGCTGTCTTTACGAATGACATAAACAAGGCCCTGACAGTCTCTTCAGCAATGCAGGCTGGGACAGTCTGGTAAGGCAGAAGTTACCACACTCCTGTTCGTAGAGATAAAAAAGAGTTTGACTCACTATCATAATGACACCTCAGTTTTGCACCCTTTGTCTAAAAGAAGTTTATCTAGACCATCCTAGTGGTGAATCACTAACCAAGACACAGAAGAGCTGTAGGGAGGTGTTGTGAAACTGCTCACTGTGGGTGGATGCTATGGAAAACTAGGAAGTGCCTTGCTTGCCCTTGGCATGGCAGCCACTCTGCTGAATGGTATTGCTGAAAACAAACAAAGCAGAGTATAAACAGTCCTTTCCTGGAGCAGAGGAATCCTGTGAGGTTTCTGCTAAAGACACAAAGAATCATGTACTTTCTACAACACTAAGAAACTGAGGGGACACCTCTTCTCTCCAGACCTTAGGAACAGGTCAAGCCACTTCTAGAGTTTCTTAGTATTATGGTGTAATTGCCATAGCTTGCAATTTGGTATGTCAAGCCTGGGTAAACTAAAGATCCATGAGAAATCGGGGAGAAAAAGGACAAATTCAAATCTAATAGCTCTGTGTTATAAACTGGCACTGAAGTTTGTCAGCAGATTAACAGTCCATTACGGAAGCTGCGTCAAAGTGTTCTGTGCCCTCCTCCAGTCTTCACAGGCCAAATCCCATTCTCCCTTTGAGCAAGGAGCAGAATATTGTTTTTATGGCATAAATCCCTCAGTTCTTTTCAACATGAGACAAGTTTGCTATTACTAAGAGGTACACAGTGTCCTCAGCTCCACAATTTTCAGCCTCTCCCTGAGTTGTCCAAAAGTCTCTCTGACAGCGCAGTTGGACTTAATGCCTCTTCCTGTTACAGGATAAACTGCTACAATGCCTTAAATGCCCAAAGTCCTTTTGGAGGATTCAAAATGTCTGGCAACGGGAGAGAGATGTAAGTATTACACCACTGTCTTTTAAACTGTTTTCAGCTCTACAATGTAAGAAATGTTACTGAATCCTTCCATGCAAATTAAGGTCAGGTTATAATCCCATCTGAGATGATCTGATGATCATTGCCAGTTCTAAATGCAACTGAAGACCACTTTTTTCTTTTTTTTCTTTTTCTTTTTTTTTTTTTTTTTGACATAGCACAATAAGTTACTGGAACTCCTTTCTTATTCTGAAAGGAACTGAAAATTTCTGAGTATTTTTCTGAACTTGTGGCTGGTGTTTTCTGAGTTTCTCTTAGCCATATCAACTAGGACTTTTGCAGAGAGATTCTGGGTTTGGTACTGCTGTGTGCTGGTTGACTGTTTTGGTGTACTTGTTCCAGAGACGTTTTGCCATTTATTTTGACTCTCTTGCTATTTTTTCTTTTCTTTATTTTTTTCTACCTTTATTAAAAGAGATACATATGAATTTTATTAAAAAGCTATCCATCTCTTCCAGAATTATAAACAATGTCAAATGAAATCAGACCTAGAGAAGGATAGACAAATGTGTTTACATCCCTTTCAAAAACTCACCTTCCATTACAAAGTTGTCTTTTCTTACTCCATTTAGAACTAAGTGCCAAATATTTTGAAATGGAGCTTCATGCTCAAATACCTAATGTACCTAATTTAAAGTCCTACCAGTTTTTAATTCTCATTGCAATCACAAGGAAGTTTATCAATTGCATCAGCCCCAGATTGGTTACGCATACAAAGGACTCAGTTCATTTCTGTGCAGGAGGTATGTGTACCAGATATGTCTCACCTAAGCTTTCAAAATAGCTTATGGCTAATGGCAAACTCAGCAGTAAAGCTAAAGTAAGGTCGAACTCTTTTAAAGCTTTAAATATGTTGAAGTATACAACTTCATCTATAAAATAAGCTCTATGTAGTCTGAAATATTTTCCCTCATTAGGGAGTACTTTGAATAACACATTCATACTATTCTCCACATTCATGAGTTATGAGGTGATCTCACACTGGCATAAATATGTCAGCTCATCTAACTCTTATCATTGTGAAAATACTTTAAAACTACTAAGCTCAATAGAGCACATGAGTAACCTGACACCCAAGACTGACCCCACTGACTTCAGGGAGGTTAACTGTGCAAGGAAAATATTCACATATTGGTATCACAGAATTTTTGAAAGGGGGAGAAACCAGTCAGCACCTCAGCTCCCATGGAAAAATCTATGGCAGTTGTACACTTGATTCCCATCTGCAGCTTTGAAAATATGAATCACAAACAATAGATGTTTGGAATTGCAATAATCTCTATCTTACAAAGATGCCTGAAAACCTACTTAGGAGTAATTATTCTACTCTTTTCAGAACCTCTTTAATCAGGTATCACCTTCTGATTCCTCCTCTCCCCTGCATTAATATCTGCACACTTTTTATTAAAATGCCATAGGTTCTTAGATCCCTGTTTTTAAGGGATGTATTTTACATCATAAATAATGTTGAGTCAGGCAATTAAAGGGGAAAAAAGAAAAAAAAAACCTGCCCATAGAGATATATGTATTGTTGCTAAACTAATACTATGCTACAACCAAATCATGACTGTGCCACTGTGCTGTCTGTGCTAGGACTGTATTATGTGGCACTTGATTTGTTCCTGCCTTTAAATGTATGAATTTACCACACATGAGGAGAAAAATGAACACAAGAAAGCTGGGATCTGCAATACTCAAATTTGACACTCCCACAAAATGTAGCAGGTTATGTGCATGCCAGTAGAGAACCAGTATTCATGTACACAATACAACTGACTCCTGTTTATATTCACGATACTTAGAATATTCTTGTGTTCTTAAAGAAGTCTAAAAGAGAGATTTTTTTTTTCCCACATTCACACTTCTTAAAGCTTCTTAACAACTACACTACCTGAGTGGTGTAAAGTTTAACTCCTGTCACTACAAATGAGGTGACTCATCCCACATAGCCCCATGAAGCCATTCAGATCTATCTTTTAATGTAATAGAAATTATTACTGTTTGGATAGCTCCGAGATACAGCAGTGTTTAGTTGTGTTCCCAAAAAGAATTGCCAGCAAAAGAATGGCTTGGAGTTGTAATTATTTTGTTTCTCTTTTTTCTCTTGGACTGAGGGAGAGAACAGAGTATGTAACATTTCTATTCAAAGAGCAATTTGTTCCCCACCACAGGCTGCTCCCCTGTGTGAGCACCTACACAACCAAGCCTCTCATCATACAGACTTGGCTCCTGGGCTTCTTCCTTTTCACAGACACAACCCTTGTTCTCACCCTGATACCAAACTGCAGCCCAAGGAGACCTAAAGTTTTCACAGAATGGGAGGTTATTAGTCCCTACGTCCCTATATTAGACTATGGGGACAAGCAAGCCCTGTGACTGAACACATACTGACTCTGCTGCTTTGAATGTCTGGAAGACCCATCTCCCCATTCAGCTAGATCACCTTTTTAATTTTTGAAAAGTACTTGCTTTAGAATTCACCACAGTTGTCTACCTCCAGATTTTCAGCCAGAAAACAAATGCACAAGGCCTTGAAGCCTTGAGCTGAAGAAACAGACAATAAAAATACCTGATTTTGTTTGCCAGACGAAGGTAAGAACCCAAAGCAGCTGGAACGTTGATAAAGGCACCGGCCGCTCTGTGGACAAGGTGATCTGTTGGCGCAGATGTGTGCCCAGCAGGTGCCTGGAGCCAGGCGGCAGCCCCGCAGGACGCGGCAGGAGCCGCACACAGGGACTTGCCCGCCTTAGTGCTCAAAGGAACTAACTTCCCAAGGAAGGTTACAGGAATTTGTCCCTCAGCATTCTATTTGGTGTAAAACGCTATGCAACACTAGGGGCAGAGAGGCTTAATTGCTTTCAACAGTGGCCCATCCACTCCATTCTGAAAGCAACGCTTATTAGAAGGAGGTTCTGAGGCATTCCCCTGAAATATTCTTCATGATGCAGATGGCATTAAATTCTGCACAGGGGGATCCGGAGGGAAGTCTGTGTCAAATAGTAAACATGTTAACATAATATGCATGTCAGCACTTTTTAGATGCTATTATAAGTAAGGGAGCAGTATGGTGTGTATTTTAGGGGTGAGGAGAAGAATTTAACCAGGAAACAAATGTCTGTAACCTCATGTGAGTTACACAGAAGAGATACTCTGCTTCCAGACTTGGACTGTACCTGTTTTGAGGTGAGGACATGGTTTGCTTTACATAGGCACAGCATCTGGCAGACATATTTGACACTGCAAAATGCAAATGCCTATGCTTCAGGGAAGACAGGAGGAACTTCCCAAGAAGCCATGCAGTATTCACTCTAAACCTCAACAGAGTTCTCTAAGAGATGAGCCAGACCAGAGCTGACTACAACAAAATATATGTAGGATTCAGAAACACCCATTTCTTAAGCATAATTTATCCAAAGCAGGACATGTATCCCTCAGAGCCATGGGTCAGGTGACTGGGACCTAGTAAGTGACTACCTTCTAGCAGTATAGAGGACCTTATGTAAGACAGGACAGAAAGAGGTCTACATAAATCTAGCAGAAATTTGAGACAGTTCAGTGCTCTTCCACAGTACATGGAAATGCTGATTTCTGCTGCTGAATATTTTGTCAGGGAAAAAACGATCAGTGGTGAAGGGGTCAAGGGGTCAAGTTTGTCTTTGTCCAGGGTTGTGAGCAGTTTGTTCTCCATAGCACTTAGTTTGGAACTTCTCTTTCTTGAGTGTAAATATAAGCAGTCATTTCACTGGCCAGTGGTGTAGGTCTTGGTGCTTGCACATTTTCAGGGTCTGGAAAGGACAGGACATAATTGACTCCCAACAGTTCCAGCAACAAACAGTTGAGGATCTCTGGGTTTAATGTCATTTAGTGTCTCCTTATCAAATGCTGGAGCCATCTGTTGTGCTTTTGACCTAAACTGAAACTTGATCTTCTGTCTTCTGAAAGGTGGCATGGAAGGAAAACCTATACAAAATCATAGCACAACAGAAACCTTCACCAAGAATTTTAGGTTCTATCTTAACTGTATCAAGGAGTTGCTTTGTAGGTTTTTGATTGATAGAGTTAATGTCTGGTGTAAGCTGATGCTGCAATTTGTTTTTTAGGGGTGAATGTGGACTGAGAGAATATTCTGAAGTTAAAACTGTGACAATAAAAATCCCTCAGAAGAACTCCTAAAATGACAAAGGACCATGTTGTGCAGAAGAGCACATGATGCCACCCTCTCTATTCCTTACGGAGACCAGCACTCAGGAATAAAAAGTGTTACACAATATTTAAGAAATTAAGTTGCAACATATATATTGGGCACATAATTGCGTACATAATGCAAATCAGCTCTGCATGTTTTCATAAAACTCTCCTGAGACTAGTTAAATCTTTATAAAACTAATCATAACAAGAGATAAAATTGCTATTTGGCATCATTTAATAATGGTTCTAGCTATAAAACTGTTAAATACAAATGCATGCATACACACATTTATCTCTTCTTTAAATAAACAGAATAATTCTTACTGCTTTCAGGTTGCCTTCTCAAAAAGACCTGTCTTGTACTGACTGACATTCTAGATTCAATCAGGGCTTTACAAGCCAGATTTTACCCCAAATGCTAGCAATGAACAACATAAACAAGTAACACTGATGTTCTTCAAAAATAAAAGACTCCGAATGCTAATGAATCAAAACATGGTATATTGGCAGCTTCCCAATTAGCATGCTCATATGAAGAGGTCAGACTGGAGTGGGAACCAAACCATTATATGGACAATGAAATCCAAATACTGAGCAGAAGTATTTGTCTTTCAGGACCCACAGTGATTTGGTTTTCAAAGCTTATTTTCCTAATTACTTTATGTCTTGCTATAAGCAAAAAAACCTTCCCTTGCTTACAGGAACTTGAGAGGTTTCACCTGCCTGCCAAAAGAGCATGGCCAGACAGGGTGGAAAGCAGCTGTTAACAAGAATGGGAACAGATCCCAAGGCTTCACAGAATATTTCAGCTTTCACTGCTTGTCTAGTTTTGTTGCTGTTGTTACTTTCACCTTTTTTTTAAACAAGTATATGCACCCACAGACTTCATTTCTTTGTCTGCTATTGAACTGCCTCTGATTACACTGGGAATTACTAAGTATTGACTGCAGAAGGAAGAACCCAGCAAAAGCCCACCTGACAAGAAGTAAGCTTGACTTTATTTTCTTAATAAGTGGTGGCTTGCCGTCTTCACCATGGTTGTAAGCCTCAGGTGAGCTTCCTTACTGGCTGGCACTCACTTTTTCAGAAGTCTGTTCTTTTTTTGGCCCAGCCAAAAATAAGAGCAAGTTCTTCTAGAAGTGAGATGTTTAAAACCTGTCACATTATTACCTGCTGCCTACAGAAACTCTTCAAACTTGTAACTAACAAATTAAACACCATCTTTCTGCTTGCCAGCTGCAGAGCTCATCAATTCCCCAGACTTTTTATTAAAGAGGTTTCATTTAATGTTTTAACATGGAATTAAGAAAATTTATTTTAGAAGTACAGTAAATCATCTGCACTATGTAGCTACATTATCTGGGGTGTAAGGACAGAATTACAGCCTCGGGTGTGACAGTCTTCCTAGTGGCAGAGTCTATACTATGAGCTGTTTAAAACTCCAGATCTGATCAGCAAATTATTTCTGCACATCCTTAACTTGCTTTACTCTCTGAGGAGTTCCTCTCAGATTTGAAGTTGTGTGTCCTTAAACATACTGCTGGATCAGGACAAGAGTATCCAGTACTTTGTAGTGTGGTGATCGTCAATACTTTGTGTTTCTAACCCATGTCAAAACTGTGTATGTGTTTTTGAAGCAATATCTATACATGAGGTTGCTCAGAAATGACATTACATTCACGGACATGGTGATGAATCAAAATATTGCTGAGTTGTTAAATGGAAATGCCATATACTTCCATAGTGTATGTCAGTGAAGAGACAAAAATACAGCAAATAAGAGATTAGTTGTCTTTTAAACTGCAATATAAAATGTGAAAAAAGGAGATTTTACTTCTTTCCTGCTATTTACTTAAAAGTGAAACTTCCTGTGCTAACAGCATTTACATCGTATACTCTTGTATTCTTTTTGTGTATTTTGTATGTCTGTGCTTTATTCCCAGTACATTCAGGTAAATAACAGAGAGTTGCCGTTTTTTAGAACCCTACCACTGCAGCTCCAGTTGATGTACACGGATATGTGAAATCTTTTATTAAATGTACCATCTGCATGGATCCAACAAAACATTTTTCCAGTCCCTGCAGCTTTCTGTTACAGTTTTTAATCATGTATATAGTTATATGTTATTAAAAAAGTAAAAGGATATTTTCTATGAAGTTTTTTTCCATTAAAGAGGTTTAGAGAACAACTTTAGACTATGAGACTCCTTTATTGTTGACAGTGCTATAAAAATATTTAAAAAAATGTTTTCTTAGCAAAAGATCTGCTCTCACAGTAGCTTTATTTTCATTTGCAAAAGTGAATAAAGTAAAAGGCCAATTACATTTTCTGGAATATTATTGCAGCTGTATGAAAAACACTTGTGAATTTCTGATCTAGGTCATGGCCAAAGTTCATCCACACCCGCGTGGTCATAAAGTTTTGCTATTGGGGAAGGTCTGAAATCATCAGAACCAGTGGGGCACCCTTGCAAACTGCTCCATCGCAGCTTGAGTTTTGGATAATGTTTAAAAAAAAAAATCATGATGCCTTTTCTTTCTGTAGCATGATGATTCAGTAGCGATGATTAAATTAACACTTGGGTCTATTTATGGAGTGATAGTCTACTTGTCATTAATTGCAAAATGCTAAAACAGGGGAAAAGGACAAACAATGTTATCTGACAGTCCATAAAATTCACACCGGCCAGGTACTGTACAACCTCCCTCAAGCAATCCTTTTATTCCAGAGTTACTTTCATTGCCAGGAACAGCATCCCTCTTTTGAAATGGTGCCTATTTAAGTGAAGTAACTACTCAGTTAATAAGGCAAAGCTTCTTCACTGCATGGCAAGCCATGGTTATTCCCCGGTGTCACGGAATAATACTGTGGGTTTAATCATCACTCTGTAGGCAGTCCCAATAGGTGAAGTACCCTGACTGAAACAGATGGGATAAAAGAGAATAAAACTTAGTAAGAGAACTGAAAATGCATTCTCAAAAAGTACTGTTCCTTAAAGTCTGGGATATCAGGAACAGATGAATCAGTTTCATTCCGTTTAACAAGTGGCATGGACAACACTGTCATGGGACTGTGAGTGGACAATTAGCACTTACAGTATTCCCTGTCTCTCTGACCTGTTGGCCACTTGTCTCACCACTCCAGTCACATAGACAGAAGGAATGGAGTGCTTTTCTGAGAGCAAAATTAAGGAAGGAAGACTGTTCTGGAACCCACTGAAAACAAGGAGTGTTGTCACCTAATGACATGAGCAAAATTCAGTCCAGAGTAAACAAGCATTCTGTCGAGCCCCAGCCAGTGAAAGTGCGTGTATCAATAAACATGCATAGAGGTAGGTGTAGTAATGGGAGAATTCAGAAATAACTGTGCATTTCTACTGGGAAAAGGATGTAAAGAAAGGCAAAAAGGATTAAAGTTCTGTAGGCTTCAGACAAAGTGATTGATATTGATGATACTTGCATAGCATTCTCACATTATTTGGCACCCTGTTACAAAGAATGCCCTTTCTCTTCCTCCCCACAGAGGCCAGGATGAAAAAGCTTGCCTTGCATGTGCAGAGGCACTGTGTTACCATACCTTCTTATTTCTTAGTTCTGTCCTGGAAAAAAGAGAACCCACAATAACACTGAATTCAGGGCACTAATTTAGCTAGAGGAAGTCAAAGCTTTCCTGTACTGTTTACTCATGCCTTTCTGCACGGTCACACCTACAGCTCTGGAGAGCTACATTTACAACCACCTTACATTGCATCCACACATCTCCCTTTACTGCATGCTAAGATCATCAACACAGGAAGTTATTTTTCTCATAACAGTCATACCACAATGACTGATATTCACAGTGCTGTATCTATCAGGAAGCAGGAAAAGCCTCTGTGGCTATTAGATGCCATCATCATTCAGACAGACTTCCCTCAGCATATTAGACTACAGCTGCATAAAGCACATCTTTCTTCCTCATCCTCATTAAACACACAGTTGATTAAGTCTTCCTGTATCTTCACCATATCCTCTGTGTCCACTGACAGTGCACAGGTATCAGGGAGCTATGCGTGGTATGGTGTGGCTCTGCCAGAAAGCTCAGGATCTTCCAGAGCAAATTGGGGGGCTTTAGCATGAAGTTGGGCCATTTACAAGGATAGATCAGGCTGATGTGAGAGTAGTGGCATAATTTCATGTGACTGAAGTATGACTAGAATATACTACTACAAGGGCTTATGGTCCCACTTTCCTCTTCCACGCAAGCACAATGGAGTGCTGGGATGCTGGTTTCAATAAGCACTTGCCTAATTTTTCTCAGAGGACCACAAATGACACGGTGGAGCTCAAGGTTAATGCAAGCAACAGATTATTACAGCTGGCTGCAGTGCAAGTTCAGTCATTTCAGCGGTGAAGAGCAGGTTAAGCTGTCTGTGTAGCCACAGCTGCTGCACTGCAGCAGTGCACAGCACCAAGTGCTTCATTATCTAAGATTGAGTTCTAGAGGCTGTGCACACATATAGGATGAGAATCTGTCCCAAAGACAGTGAGTAGAGGCACAAGGGTGACCCATCTCTTGGTACAGCTTGCATAAGTCACCAGAGCTGTTCCATAATGTCCCTAATCCCCTTAGCTTACTGTTACAGGGGGAGAAAAAGCACGTCTACATACCCCTGGTTCATAAGAACAGGTAATTCTGAAACAATTAAGCCAACTGAGTTTAAACTCTGAACCCTCACCAAAAGCCAACCTCATCCGCCTAGCACAGATACTCTAGAGCCCAGCTGAATCACAAAGACCGCAGCTATTTTTTTCTGATGTTAAACTCACTCAAAGGCACTACTGAAGAGAGGGACTGGACCCACAACCCACTGCTTCTCCCTGGGGAGCATCTGCACTGTTACTTTCCATTGGTTACAGGACGAGAAGCTGCATCCAGCAGCAGAGGCTGTCCTGAACTGTGCCAAGCACACACATTTTTGGCTGTGCCTGCAGTGCCAGGAAATCCTCCAGGGAAAATTTTTTCGCCTGATTTCAGGTTGCATTTCTGAACACATCATGGAGGGCCCTTACCTTCAGCTGCAATTCCCCAAAGTCTTCAATGCCCAGGAAGGCTGCGACATTGCCTGGGACAATGTGCCCCAAGGACTGATAAAGTCCACATTACTGCTATGTTCCCCAGTGCATTACTGTAGCTGCTCCTTTCATTGTCATTTAATCCTACTACCTAGCATCACATCCTGCAACTCCAAGCTGGTTTTGAGGCATTTTTACCTGCCTAGAGGTCCCCGATGAGACCTGCTAAATAAACCTGTATTGTGCAACCAAAACAGCAACAGACTGCAAGAAAAGCTCCAGCTGCAGAGGCTGCCAAGGAGGCTGCGCACACAGCAGGCTGAGGTAACCCAAAAGGGTGCTTGTGAAATGTTTGTGCTGCTGGCAGGCAGCACACTGCCAGGACAGATCACACATCATGCATTTGCACATCAAATGAAGCTGCACTGGTCTGAGAGCATGGGAAAGGCCTGTCTTTAACGGCATGTGTCCTACTTCCTAAACATGTATATTTTACACTTTACACTTGGTTATTGGCCAGATTGAAAGTACCACAAGTTCCCCAAAGCTTGTCGTTTTGCCTTTGAAGTAGAACTGTTTGGATACTGTTTCCTTTGGCAATTTATCTATGTAACAAAGCAGGAACTTAGCTACACTGGCTTCTCAACAATCCACTGCTAGCTTTTGTCCAAGTATTCAGGAGTTTGTGTATATGCACTCACAATTTGATCATTTTTGTGACCTTGCTTAGCCCTCCTCCTTCTCCCTTATGATTCTTCATTATGAGGTTGGTGTAACTTGTGCTAGTATTAATTCACATATTTTGGGGTTCTTTGTATGCCTGACTGAGATCCCATTTCCTACAGCAGCTTAATTAGCAAGACATTTGTGTGCAGCTCACTCCTGCTGCTGAACAAAAAGAAAATGTGTTTGCACTGCTTCTCCTGGCAAAAAGGCTCCAGCTCACGTTGCACTGGTTTTCTCGGACTCTTCCAGGTCCATTAGATAGTACAGAGAGCAGAACCTCTTGTGAAGTTTCTGATGTTTCGTCCTTTCTATCGGTCCAAAAATTTCTCCCACAGTCTTTGGCACGTGATATCCAATCTCAAAGTACAGTCAGGGCCTCAAGAGAGGTCACCTTTTAGTCTTTAATTTTTAACTTGACAAACATTCAAGTTTCTAGGAAGGATGCTCAATGGAAAGGTACTCTTCTTTCCCACCAAGAAACCAGATTAAGTACAACAGCTAAAGCATTCCCCTTGCATCTGATGGTCCTGCCACTAGACATAATCCCAGCTCATTCAATCACCCAGAGCTGGCTAGTGAGATGCCTCATCCCCAGGCTGTATACCTATGGGGACTAAGCAGACAGACTTTATTTAAATCAAGCATTCCAAGTCCAGAAAAGTCACCAAATACTCTTCAGCCTTATTATTCCATATTCTTCACAATCTGGCTTGTGAAATTAAGGAGAAAAACACCTTGTCTCAAAAGAAATGGACATTTGTAGAACTACTAGTCTGTGGTTCCTGAGTAGCCTGGAGCTCCTGAGCAGTACAAAGAAAGCTCCTATGCTACCATGTTGAATTTGAGCATGAGCACCTCATCACAGGGACTGCCACATCCAGTGTAGGGGAGCAGGCAAGTCTAGTGAGGCTGCTGCTGCCCCTTCTGTCCTGGCATGAAACTAAACCAGAGCAGTGGACCCCTTTCTGAGAA